AATTTAAATTCGTCCTGGGTTATGGAGTTTTGCTTTAAGTTGTGTTTTTTGGAGGGAATTCCAAGCTTTCCCAGCAGTGATGGATGCAGTTGCAGATTGGCCTCCAGCCAGAAGTGGGAGCTTATTAAGAAGCATTGAAAATATTCTTCATTAACTGTGAAATTGGACAAGATGTTTGTTTTTATTGTTGTTGTTGTTGTTGTCATTGTCTGTCTGGTGACCTCAAAGGAGACTAGACTTGCTCGACACGCTGAGCTTAGGGAAATGCAGGAATGACTCAGGAATTGTTCTATCCAGCTATTTCCTGAGTATTTTTCTCTAGTTTCTATGAATTTGTCTTGGTATCCAAGTATGGATTGGGCTCTGATGATCTCTGATACCACTGCTCTCCTCAGATGGCTGAAATCGACACCAAAAAAAATTCTCAGTTTCTTCACTAACTTAGGGAAAAGTCCCTCAACTCTAATTTCAAGTGATGAAGTTGAATGTACCCAGCAAGTTCTTCAAAACTTGATGGGATTTACATTTTGCAGGATTATTTAGAAGTATATGGACCTGCTTTCGTATAATTTCTAGGAGTAAATGCCAGCAAAAACCATATCTGTAAACTGATACTACTGCCAAAACATAAAACATTTTATTTTCCTTTTCCCATTCTACATTGAATTAAAAAGAAAAATGCCTCTATAATTTACCTTACATTATAGTCACTCTAGCATATCTCTGAGGGGGAATACCATCATGTTTTTAATCACATGTAGCTCCCATTTAGCCTACCCACGTTTTAAATATTCCATTTTAAAGAGCTCTGTCTGCACGGAGTGTTCTCAATGCATCATTTGGGCCTCAGAAATTTGAAGTTCCTGTGTTAATGCTCTCAGAGTTCTCTGTCCACAAGCTGCTGCTGCCACACATTTTTATGATTCTGAATAAAGTGTGTATCAGATTTTATCCTCTGTTATTATCTACTCATGGCATTAAGCCTTCATTAAGATTTAGATCCAGGTGAAGCAGGGAACCATTAAACCAGGCAGAGGAAGGATGTACAGACTGAGAAATTTGGATGCTGAGAGCTGAGATCCCCTCTCTTGCTTAAATGCCAGCTCATTGGTTGGAACCAGTTATTTTAAGTACTAAAAAATGAGGGAAGTAATGCAGCTGCTCAGGGGCACAATCCTGGATTACTCAAGTTTCCTGGGAAACCTTTCCATCCACATTCGTTTGTGAGGGTTTTTCTCTTTCCAAATTGGGCAAAACTTGGGTAGAGTCATAACCAGTGTGTGCTGGGCTGGCTCTAGAGGCAGAGCAAAGTGCAAGGACACCTCACCTTTCCTGAAAATAAAGGGTTTTTTTTGGTGCAGCTTCTGCAGAGCCGTGGCCCTGAGCGGCTCTGGGTTCCTAGGCTGTTGGGTAAGGAGAGCCTTGCGTGTCTTCTGCTGCTCACAGCTCTTACTCAGCTCTGGAAAGAAATATCTGGTCATGTAACCACTTTCCTCCAGATCTGGGGCCAGAATCTCAGCTGGTGCAAGTCAGCAGAGCTCCACTGACATTATTAGTGCTCCAGTGATTCACACCAGCTGTGGGTCTGGTCTTCTGTCTTAATTTATGAACTAAATGTCAGGAAATATGAAATGATCTCTTATAGTCAGCAGTTCTCCAGATGTGTTAATGGAGTTTAAGTTTAACAAAAGGCAAGACTTCAAAAAAAGAGATCCAGCAGAAGAATAAACTTTCAGGAGGAGTGCCTTACTTACGGGCTTCTAGGCAACAGAGGACTGTGCAACTCGCTGCAACTTAAAGAAATTAACTCAGTTATGCATCAGGACATGGTAATACAGCCTCTCTGAGAAATCCAAAATAATTTGGATTAACAGAGCAGGCTGCTGACATTCAGTGAGCAGCTGCCATGCAAGTGGGAATCACCAAGTCTGGCAACAAAAATTAAGTTGCTGATGATCTTTGTGTGAAGAGCCTAATGCCTCCACTCTGCAAGTGGGGCTGGGTTTTTTCAGAGGCTGCAGCTTTTGGAGATTAAATGAGGAGCATGTTGTTACAAGGACACAGAAGCTTAATAGTTCTCACTGTGCAATGTGAAAACTCATCAGTGGCTTGGCTTAAAGATGTGATCTCATGGATGGTGTTGAAAACTGTTATTTTAGCCAGTGAGGATGGTTGTTGTCGTTGCTTAAGCCCTGTCAGGCTTCCTTGTCCAAATCAGAAAACTCTGGAACAGCTGAAACCTCACAGCCAACAAATGTGGGGTCTCAGAGGTCTTTTAATTCTCTTATGCCTGAATAATATATGAGCATATGCTCAAAAAAAACCCCCAAACAAACCTGAAATATCCTGTGGTGGCACAAAGGCCTCCACAACCTAATTTATTTGCTAATGAGACCTTTCAGAATTAATTTAAATGATCAGTGTGTGGCTCCACCCCATGTGGTTCACTCCTTTTGTTCTCACTGGAGATGGACCCACAAAGGTAGAAGAGCAGCACACCTTCAGTGGTTGAACCTGATAACCCTCTGCTGGGGCTTGGTGCCTGTATTTTATTTTTAAATAAGTTGATTTCTAGCCCCCAGAGCAGCGTGGGATGCTCTGAGGTCATTGGTGAAGAGCCCAGTTCCTGCAGGTCTGTTTCACAGCTAATCCCAGGGACTTCTGGTGAGGCAAATTATCTGTTGAGGTGTCAGAAGGAATATAAAGGATGCTTGGCACAATTTGTTCAGGCCTGAAGAAGAGCGTTTTGGAAGAGTCCTCGGAGAAAGCTCGTTAGACTTGCAGAGAAATACCATCATCTGAAGATAGCAGTATATTGAATTTGGAGGGGTTTGCAGAGCTGGAGTGGCAGAGAGAGTGGTGAGGAAACCCTTCTGATGGCTGGGGAGCTCTGAGGAGGTGGCAGCATCCAAGGGTCAGCATTTATTGGTTTTTGCTGATTGTCCTGGGGCACAGCAGGGATGAAATGGAACTCATTCCTCAGCTCCAGGAATCACAGAATATTCACAGCTCTGAGCCTCCAAGGGGATGGGGAACTTGGAGTTGTGCAGTGCCTGGTGTCTCAGAGAGCTCATTCCTGTGAAATTGCCATGTTTTATAGAGACTCCTGCTCCCTAGATATTCCTAGGTAGGAGATATGGAAAAATTTGCTTCTGAAAATGGCTGAATTTTGACCAACAGTACTGACTTCACCACACGGAGCAGCTGAAGGCAGATGCTCAAGTCAGTCTGAAAATTAGGATTTCATGGCGTGCCTCATTTCACAGAGTCCTCACAGGGCAGAACTCTCCACCACCTCTGGCTAGTTCTTTCCATCCTGGGTAACACATGAATTTTTCACCTTTTTGTCAGAATTGCAGCAGTGTAATAAACCTGGGCACGAGTCCTCAACCCCTGTGGAGCTCCAGCCAGCCCCAAATCTTGCAGTACAGCACACGAGATCTGATCCCTGCTTCCCATGCCCAAAATGTGAAACATTTTGGTTTTTGTATTGTCCATTCTACAATGAATTAAAAAGAAAAATACCCCTGTAATTTACCTTATGTGGTAGTCACTCCAGGGTATCTCTGAGGGGGAATACCTTCATATTTTTGCCCCTGCAGCCAGGTCCTGAGCCAAGGGGAGGAGATCACATCTTATTTTCAAGGCAGTGACTGATGCTGGAAACACACACCCCTGTGACTGATGAATCTCCTCTAAACTAGATTTGAAAAAAAAGAAAATAAGGTTTCTCTGTAGGATTCAGGTGATTTTTGTGGGTGGTGGGGTGGGATGTTTTGTTTGTTTTGGTTTGGGTTTTTTGTGGGTTTTGTTTATTTGTTTGCTTGTTTTTGTGGATTCAGCCTGTGTAAGAGTAACTCCTACAGGGATCAGAAGCTGTTGCGAATGCCACTTTTTTTTTTTTTTGGAAACACAGGAAAAATCACCTTCCCAAGGCACAAAGGCAGAACTGGAATCATGTCTTGGAGAGAGAGCAGAAATAGGAAACACGGTGTCTTAGCATGATTTCTGCATCTCTGCTGCTCTTCCTAGCTCTCCATGTGGAAATTGTGGGTGAAATGGTCACTCTCATGCTGTTCAAAAAACTTCCAGCAGAGCACCTGGAGCGCTGGCATTTATAAACTGAATTTCCTCTGCTTGCTTTGCCACCCCAGCGAGCAATTAATAATTTATATATATATTATAAATATATATGTAATATATAGTAATAATATATAATAATTTTTATTAATAGTTTCTAATAATATTTTCATAATGATATTTAAATATATTAAATTATATTTATATTAATGATATATTTTATATAAGTTATATATTATATATAATGTAATATTAATATATTAATATTATTATAATATAATTATATTATATATTATCTATTTATATAATATATCTATAATATATAATATATCTATAATATCTAATATATATATAATATATAAAATAGATATTATATATAATACATATATATAATATATAATTATATATTATAATATATTAATAATATATAGTAATATATATTATAGTAGTATAGTAGTATATAGTAATGTCGTAATAATAATAAATTAATTAATTAAAGTATATTAAATTAAAAAATTATATCAATATAATTGTGTTGTATGTTTTATAATATTTATATTAAATATATATATGTTATATATTATATAAATATATATTTAAATACATTAATAATATATAAATATAAATATTTAAATTTCCCTATAAAATAACATTATTAAAACTATTAATAATAATTATGGATTGTTATTATTATTTAATAATATTTTTAATTTAATTTAAATTACTAAGTTAATAAGTAATTAATACTGATAATTAATAAAATCTAATAAACTATAAATTAATAAAATCTAACTTACTAATATCTAATAATTAACCTTCCTCTTAGACATAGCCTGAAAAACAACACACCCAAAATGAGTTGGAATCACTTATAATCTGCTTCCAAATTTGTCTCACCTCCCTCTGCTTTTTGTTTCCAGGCCTGGCCCGGCCTCGCAGGCGACGTCGGGGCAGCGCTGCCCGGATTGGGATCTGGAAACCCTGGAAAACTCCTGTCAGCCAGAGGACCTCTTGGAGCACATGTAGCCACCTGTGTGCTGGGAAGGGGGGCACTGGTGCTTCCCCCAGGGAGAAGCCATAAACTAAAATAGTTTTTTTAACAGAGCAGAGCCAAAATCTTTGCTCTGAGGCTCTAAACCCTCCAGGGCCGCGCTTCTCCCGCCCTTGCAGACCCTCGGCCCTGCTGCACCTCCTCTGTGCGGGGCTAAAAGTTGAGTTTAGCCTCTGTGTAGACCTTTTATCACCTGCATGTGGGAAGGGAGAGCTCTGTGGATGTGCTCTTGCATCTTCCCAGCCTCTGATGGTGCTCAGGATTCACCATTTCCCATGAAGTGATCCCACGGTTCTCAGCCTTTCCCAGCTCAGCCCAGACATGGTCTGGATAAATCAGCTTTATTTGAGGTGCAGATGTGATCTTGGAACGGTCTGTTCTGAGCCAAAGCATACAAAGAGATGTCCTTTTACTTGAGGGCACTATGCATTATCAGGTATTCCTGCTTTTGGGAGTAAAGTGCTACTGAAGTTGATATTAACTCTATTTTAACATTCCGTAGAAACCCACGGCGTTTAAAATTGTGATTTTTTTGATACTTCAGCTTTTTTCCTTAAGGTGATTTCTGAAAAAAATACAAAAAAAAATAAAATGCATTTGAAAAATAAATCAAATTTGTCTTTATTTGTTAGACACTATGAGTAAAGGCAGTGATTGTGAAAGCATGTTAATGCCTGAGCTTGTCTTGCCCCAAACTGATGCATTCATTTAGATTTAGAGTTAGATTTAGATTTAGATTTAGATTTAAGGCTTCACCAAAACAGACCAAGTTGACATGCGTTTACCTTCTTTCAGTGGTCAAAATGAAGAGCTAACTGTGGATCTCAGGTTTCTGCTTTGCAGTTTCAAGAGTTTCTTGTTAAAGACAGAAAGATCCAGTTCTTTCTGCAGAAGGAATCCCACTGAAGTCAGCTGCTGAAATCTTCAGCTGAAATCTGTGGGTTGCAGAGCTCTTTGGTGGAATACTTGATATATCTGAAGTGTCTCTGATTCTGCCAGAATTCCATCCTACATTCAATTAAAAGCATCCCTGTTAGTATTTTCAGGCTTCACACAAGAACGTGGGGATCTGGGAATATTGTATTTAAGCACGCCTCTCTGAAAAAAAACCACGGTCACAGCGTTTAAAAGTCACAAAGGGCTTTGGGACGGCGTTATAAATCACACAGCAAAAATAAGAAGGGCCAAAATATTTTTCTTGCTAAAAGGGCTTTGTGCCTGGGAAGTGACAGGGCCACAAAAGAGCCATTCATGCACCCATTCATAGGCACAGCCTGATTTAAAATCTTCCAGCGCTGATCTGACAATGCTTTCAGCAAAAGCTTGTATATGGTTTCAGTTTGAGAGTGAAAATGTTCCATGACTTCACCTGGAGTGCCAGAGCCTTGGCTGTGCCTGCAGCAGAAAATGCAGGTGAATGGAGCTGAGCATCCCACAGAACTCCCCACTCTCAGGAAACGGATGGGTTTCTACTAGCAAAATGTTCCTGTGCAAATAGGAAATGCTACACGCTGTAAAGTCTGTCTGAGTGTTCTTTTCTCTCCTTTTTTTTTGTTTATTTTTGGGGTATTTTTAAATTATTTGTTTGGTTTTGGGCTTTGAGGGGTTTTTCTTGTTTTTTTTTTTTGTTTTGTTTTGGGTTTTTGTGGTTCTTTGGGGTTTTTTTTGTGTCTTTCTGGTTTTGAGTGGTTTTTTTTTGTTTTGTTTTGGGGTCTTTTTAGGGGTTTTGGTGTTGTTTTTTGTTTGGTTTTTTTGCTTGTTTGTTTGTTTTTTGAGATTTGCAGAGGCAGCCCAGGGCAGAAAATTCCTTGGTGGGGCATTCCCACCTTGGTCTGTTTGAGCTCAGTTGTGCTGTCTGGGGGTGGGAAGTAATAATAATTTAATATTAATTATAATAGCTCTTATTATAATTATTATAATAATAATTATTATTTAAATTAATAACATTAATAAAATAAATATAATTATAAAGTAATATTATAAAATAAATATAATTAATAATTATTAATAACAGTTATTCTTTAATAATATTATCTTTAAATTAACTTTAGCTACTAAATTAATGAGTAATTAATACTAATAATTAATAAAATCTAATAAACTGTAAATTAATAAAATATAACCTACTAAAATCTAATAATTCATCTAATATTTGGTGTTGCTTGGTTGTCACTGAGAAAAGCCAAGGTCTTTGCCATCTCTCCACAGTCTGGATCTAATCCTCACTCCATCCACCCTCCTCTTTAGCAGACCTACCAAACTGAGACTTATTTTGTTTTGTGAACAGGGTTCTCTTTGTTTTCCAGGTGTGAAGATGTCACATCACTCCATTGCTTCTTCCCTACCCAAAATGACAGGTGACAAAATAGAGAAAAATGCCCAGAAATGGGTTTTTCAAGGCAGAAACTTAACCAAACTTACAAATTACAGATCAGATCCCAAGGATTCTTTATTAACATTTCCCCTACAGATTTCCTACAAATGATTTGCCTGGTAACTTTTTTTTTTCCCCACCAGTTTAAACTGTATTTATGGGGGGAGATAAAAGATGCAGTTATTTTACAGAAGGAAAAAACATGTTTTCATCAGAGGCCTGGACTCATCTAGAGATTTTTACCTTTAATGCAACTGCTTGAACAGAGTGTGTGTTGTCATGCAAAACAATTTGTTATTTGAGGTCTGAGTTCATCAATTTTGAAAGGCACAGCTCACAAATATTTCTTTCCAAGAGAGGGAAAATAAAGTTCTGGACCGAAAAAAAAAAACCCCAAAACCCCATGAATTCCTGAAAAGTGCTGCATAAAGCATTGCCTTTGGCATGATAATGTCAGTTTGACTTTGAGATAATGTTTTGACAATCTGTATCACTATTTTAACTACTGTTCTCACTGCTATTCCCAGAAGCAGACACTCGTGTGTGTCTCTGTGTGTGCATCAGATTCTCCCTCTCTTCGTGCCCTTGCTGTATAAATGATTGTGTGTATAAATGTGAAATTTACTTAATCTATTTTATTTAAATTACATCTAATTTATTTATTTCTCTGGAAGTATTTAGGGTGGTGTAGCTGACAGCTGCTGCAGTTTGATCCATCAGCCTGGAGGTGCTTGAGGGAAGAAAAAGTCTTTACACGTGGGGGATTCAGGTGCTGATAAATGTTTATGGCAAAGATTCTTCTTATTTTTTTTTTTTTTTTCCTGTTTTTCTGGGAAAAATAAAATATTGGAATGGTGAAGTCAAAATGGGAGGAAAACAGGGCAATAAAAACATGTCCAGGCTGCTTAGAGACTGAAGGTGATATATTTGAACTTCTTCTGAGCAATCCTAATTGAGAAAAATGCCCAGGGTCTCGTTACCCTACTGAGAGAAGATCAATCCTTTTCAATCCTCTCAGCAAGTGCTGCTTCCCTACTAAATGTTTTCCTGCTCTGATTTTATTCTAATTCCCTTCACAAAGTCTGCCCCCTCATAAAATCTTTCTCCTAAATTTCCTTTGGATGATCTGTCATCCTCCATCTCATTTTTTTTTTTTTTTAATTTTTTATTTTTTCCCTCATAACGTTGGTCAGCATCTGAATTTTCATCCTTTTCTGACCATTAAACCATTTCCCTGCTGTTATAATTACACTCCAGGATCAATTTAATTCGTGAAAGTCATCAGGATTCATCTGCTACTGTTAGGAAAATGAAACTGTATTTTTTGAAGACCAACACCTTTAAGAAGGAAAACACTGAGCTGGAGGAAGATTGTTTCTGGAGATCCCTAGCAATGAGTTCTGGGGTCAGCCTCATTTTCACCAGTGGCATCGGAACAAAAAGCAGGAATTGCAGTGAAACCTCTTGAAGATGTGGATCTGGGAAGCCTGGCACTCTCCGGTCTTGAATTCCATGCAGTCCCACTGGGCAGAGGTGACAAAAGAAATCACTTTTTTAAAAATTTTATTTTCTTTCCTGGCTTCTAATATCATCCAAGGTGATGTTTGTGCAAGCCCTGGATTAAAAGGATGACCATTCTGCTTTAAGGTTCTTTCTTGGGAAGGAAACAAAGCTCAGTTTGGGGTTTTTTTAATGGTATTTGCCTTGTACAGAAATATTTAACCAGGGAAAATTTTGCCATCATTCCTGCAGCCTCACAGAGTCACTGGACAGGTGATTTTGGAAAGGGATTGTCAAAATTGTAAAGGTTTTCTTGTGAGACCCAATTTTGGGAGTCAAACCCGTGGCTTCTGGCTGGAATACCCTTCCTGGGTAAGAAACAAACACATGAAACCACTTTAATACTGAATTCTTAGTCCTTACTGTCTTCCTCTCACACACAGAGCTGTTGATCAGTTGAGAGAGTCTGAGAGGAACATTTGATGGTAAAATTCACGTCCAGAGGTAGACATCCACTCTGTGAAGGGGATGAAGGTAATGTTTAAATATCTCTTTTTATGCAGCTGTTACTGTAGAATTCATTTAATAATCATCAGTACAGCAGGTAGCACCCATGTTGCTCTGAGTAAATGATATAATACCACATTGTGCTTATTCTCCTGCTTAATTAATGATGAGTTTGAAGTCCTGCATCTCATTTCCAGTGCAGGTTTCTGGTTCCTGTTGGCTGAGAGACCTGGGTTTAATAATCAGTTTAATTGCCCACCTCAATATCCCTTGTGTGGCCCTTTCTTTCTGAGACCTTGCCAGGTGGGCTTCCAAGGCAGTTGAAAGATGTTAAAACTCAATTTTAACCAAAAGCCACAGTTCTAGGCAGAAAAGGCTGGGGAAAAAGTCTGTCCTCCAGACTCACATCCATGTCAAAACAGAGAAAGGCAATAAAATATATTTACAGGAATATTCACAAGCCCACTCACCTGAAGTTTATAAAGACACTGGGAGGGGTTTTTATGCAGCAAAGAAATGAGGAGACAGAGGAGCCCAGGAGTTCTTACATTAAATAGCCATTAAAAATGTACCAAAATGTGCAATACTCTGCTCAAGGTTTTGCATTCCTGCTCTATTAGGACGGCAGGAATTGACAACACTCTCTGACAGCATTTCCACACAGTGAGCACATGGTGAATTTCCCTTTCTGAGGAGGGGAGAAAATGACCTTCACCCTTCCTGAAGGTAGCTGGCAGGCCCTGGCCAGGCAGAAAGCATCACCTGGTATCCCTGAGGATGGATGAGCCCTTTACCCTCCTGTTATCCATGAATTACTCGCTCTGGAGTGGGGAAAAATCAGCAGCACCAGCACTTCTGCAGCTCCCCTGCCCAGGAAATTGCAGTGATTCCAAGCCCAGGAAAAGCAAAAGCTAAACTTCACCATGGTATGGATCCTTTCTGCTTGAGGGCATCCCTGCACTCCAGTTTTTTCAGGGTGTCTTAGCTCAGCTTTGATCCAGCTGGTGATGCTCGAGGCTTGCCTGGATAACCACATTTATTTCACAGGGCTGTGGGGAAAAGACCTGGTCTGCTCCTGGGCAGCTCCTCGTGGTGGAGGAGACAAAACCCTGCGTCCTGCTCCCTGTTTCAGCCTCATGACTCCATCCTTCCCACCACAGAGCCAAAACCC